ACACTCCTCCAGCACATAATGATTCCCCTCCCAAATACCATGCCCCCCCTCCCCGTTTCAATGGCAGCCGAAGCAGCAGCGAAGCAGAGGCTGACAACCACAATCTACTTTTTAGTAAGCTAGAAAAATGTGGAATAGACAAATCACCACCAGATGGATTTGTAGCTGGCTGGAAACCATACTCAACCAGTAGTCCTTAATGGTACTACTTCCACACACAGAGAAGTAAGCAGTGGAGTACCACAAGGCTCCATCTTAGGCCCAGTACTCTTCAATATCTTCATTGATGACTTAGATGAGGGAATAGAAGGGAAACACACCAAATTATTCCAACTAATCTCCAAAATACCAGAGGGTAGAACAAGAAGCAATGGGTGGAAACTAATCAAAGAGAGAAGCAACTTAGAACTGAGAGAAATTTCCTGACAGTTAGAACAATTAATCAGTGGAACAGAAGTTGCCTCCAAAAGTTGTGAAAGCCCCAACACTAGAAGTCTTTAAGATGTTGGATAGCCACCTGTCTGAAATGGTATAGGGTTTCCTGCCTAGGCAGGAGGTTGGGCAAGAAGACCTCCAAGGTCCCTTCCAATTCTGCTATTGTATTAAATTTACATATGATTCTAAACTGGCAGGAATAGCCAACACCCCAGAAGATAAGCTCAGGATCCAAAAATATATTGACAAACTTGAACAATGTGCCCTATCCAACAAAATGAATTTTACTGTGGAGAAAAGCAAAGTATTATATTTAGGCAGGAAAAATCAAAGGTATAAATACAGAGTAGGTGAGGCTTAACAGCTCCAGTCTTCCTTCTATAGTAAACAGCCTCAAGCAGTAGCTTGAAGAGGCTGGTCTTTAGGAATGGAGATTTTGTATCCTTTCAGAAAAACTGGGCCAATCTTTCATAAGCAGACTCCAAATAAGCAACACAATAGGCAGCCAAAGCTGACAAGTTTAGTTCAGACAAACAGCTAGGATTTGCATTTCCTCTTTTGCCTGTAGAGCCAGCCATGACCGCTACATGACCCCACAGGAATCTGGCAACAGCCATTAAAATATTGAAGGACATATTCTTGCACAGTGTAGCACAGTGTAGGAAGAAAAATCCACCTCATTCATTTCCAAGCTGGGAGAAAGGTGCTGGGAATAAAATGGAGGGCGATTGGAAAAAAAGTTCATTGATGAGCAGAACCAACAACAGCATGTGGTTTTGGGGCAGCTGACAAATTAGCTTGATGAGTGAAAGGAGTTTCATAGTTTCCGAAATGCTGCAGGGGTTATGTAATGAAGTGAGCCTGGTGCCTTTTGCTATTCTAAGGGTGGTATGTTAATCCTACTATGTCCTAAAAGGCCATGTCCTGTTCTTTGAATCTGGATGGGGGAAGGATGTATATTTTAATCCCATCACTGGAGGTGAAGGTATTTTGTTTGTGAATAGCCTGGGCCCAGGATTTCTTAATGGGCCCAAAATCTCCATCTCAATATTTCTGCTGGAAGCTGTTTTAACTATGCAGGAAACTGGGGCTGCATTTTGCCTCTAAGATAGGGTGACCAGACGTCCCGCACCTGGCGGGACAGGCACGACTTTTCATCATTTTCCCCACGTCCCGCCCACTTCTCAAAAAACCCCGCTTTATTTTGGCGCTNATTGGATGTAGTCCTTCCTTTGACTCTGAAATAGCCTACTATATTCATTTTAAAGGAAGATTTATGGAAATTCAATGGTGGTGAATAATTGCTAGTGGTTTAATGGAGTAGTATTTGAGTAAATCCCAAAATAAAGTGCTGATATTATCAAATTAACACTATACCGGTACTTGTTTTTAATCATAATAATTTGTCATTCATTGGTTAATATATTAATATTAATTGTTTCCTTAAGAATGTGCTTCTAAGAAAGACGTTACAGATATAACTTTTTGGGACAAAGGGTTTTTTAAAAAATGTTTGAGAGAAGAAATAAAGAAACAATTATTCCATGGCTTTTAAATAAGATATTTGACCAAGGTGTGTGTTTATTTGTATATGTAGCCATGCAGATTGTTCCTTTATTATTCCTTTTTAGGAACCATAAGTAAAACAGAATATTTTTAATCATGGTTTCCTCTTTCTTCCAAACCTTGTAACCCCAATTTCTTAGTTTGGACCAATAAGTATTGATTATAGACTGCCTGATTCAATAGCTTACATGGAGGAATATAATATTTATGCATATTTTGATTTATCAAGCCAAGTTACAATTGTATGAGTTGCTTTGTTCTCAAAAATATTTATTCTGTCCATTTTAATTGTATATAATATGTTAAATCAACCAATTAACTCACGTTAGAGCTTCCGAATAATTGTAATGAGGAGTAACTCCCAGAAACTTCTGCACTTCTTCCATTACTATAGCTGGGTCATTTCTTAACTGCTGTCCATCGATAATTAGTAACTGGAAAAAAAGAAAGAAAGGAAAAGAAAGAAAGAAAGAAAGAAAATCAATCAATTCTGGATTCAAGATTTTATAAACAAGAAACTCATTTTCAAGTTTTAGAAAGGAAGAGATATACAAATTGAATAAGGTTTAAATCCATTCATATTTATCATCAATTTTAATGATTTGAAGTTTCCTTAATGTTCATTTCATTACAGGAAATTGAACTGAATTGTAAGCTGCTTGATGCACCAATGGTGACTGAGAAATAAAATTAATCAGTAAGAAAATAAATGTGATTTGCCTTGAAAAATGTATATGCAGGTTTCAAAATTGCAAACTATAAAAAGGGGCATATATTCCAATACATAAAATATTAAGACTCTCTGCCTTTCCTCAGGCTTAGATTTAGGAAATCAATTTGGGATAACATACCAGTTTTATCAACTAGATCACAGGTGTTAAACTTGCTGCGTCCTGTTGCTGTCACGTGATGCTTTGTGACATTTTCCCCTTTGGTGGAGCTTGGGTGGCCGTGGCCTGTGCGTGATGCATCTAGCCCAGTTTGACACCCCTGATCTAGATGAAGAATGGCGATTAAGATGGGCAACTTTTAATAATCACAACCAAACAAATCACGCAGTTGCCTTGAAAAACATGGAGCCACCTGAATGGAATCATAAGGTGGGCCCTCTGGAACACTGTACCAGAACGGTATCCAGTGTTCTGGGCAGGGTCCGGTATGCCTGCAACCCACCACTGGTATGGATACAGCATGGTTGGGCCATGTTTAGATCAGCTGCAGTCCCTGGAATGCTGGCACCTCTTAATATTCCCTAAATTCTGAAATAATAATTTGCAGGTGAGGTTTTGTTGAAGCAATCTATAGTTCTGGCCCAGAAAAGCAAAACAGCAGCCACCTGTGAGCACTAAAAATGCTACCTACTCCTTAGATTCTGAATAGTTTGAAATGTGATATTGTTTACCTGATAAGATGGGAAATAAGTTAACCATCTTTCTAGGTGAATGGAATACCATCCAGGTATCAGACATTTCTTCTGCAGCAACTTAAGTTCTGACGAAGCATGGTGTCCTGCAGTGATCACTTGGTAAAATGTAAATTTTAGAGCAGCTGGGTCTTTGTGAAATCTTTGATGCTGAAAAACAAATGGAAGGATGTCAACTGTAAAGCAAAGTTAGTTTAAGTCCTTCTTCCTTCCTGAATATTTGCTTCCATGCAGATACCGTAGCTCCTTGATTCAAGGCCAAATACGAAGCAAGCATTTTGCTGGATTTAATACTAAGAAGGGTATATACAGATTAACCGTTATAGAAGAGGACAGATGCAAAAGTATATAAAATATAACACTAATAAAATTGGTTTAAATGTTTTTAAGCATAACAATCTGGAAGATTGATCCTGGTTATTTTTGTTTTGTATTTTAATTCTTCAATAAAAAATTAAAAAATGAAAACAAACCATGCCATTATTTCATTTGATAAGACATTTTATTGTTTGATAGAATCTTATGTTTTCTGTCTGAGTGATAAGGCTTTCTCTTGCTTCATGTTTCTTAAAAAAATTATTGAGTTGTAACAGTCAGTTCTCAGTGAGATGACTTACTGCCCAGTAAACATCTTGAGTTACAAGGAAGGGATCAAAAAGCTTTCATTGACAGTTTTTAAATCTATCAATTATGGACTTGTCAATAATGATCTATACGTCTGAGTGTAATTGTGGTACATAATGAATAACAGAAGCAAATCATCATACCTACCAGAGGTGGGTTTCAAAATCTGGCACTACCAATTTCCTCGTGCTCACGCGTGCATGCAGTGCTTCTGCACATGCACAGAAGCGTCCGGGTGGGTGGGCGGAGCCTCCCGCCACCCTCACTACCGGTTCGGTTGATCCAGGCTGAACCGGGAGCAACCCACCTCTGATACATACATTTAGAATCTGCATTTTGTTAAAATGTATACCTGATACCAGGAATATGCTCGGTCTGATGGATCAATGAGAATAGTTATGATTTTTGCCTTAGGAATTAAAGAAGCAACTCGTTTAGGGGCGTCTTCCGAATGAAAATAATTGGCACTCTTCTCAAAGAGAAAATCAGTGGTTACATTGGACGGTGTAGGAAAAAATTCCATATACCTACAAAACATGAAAAATATTTTAGTACATATGGAAAAAAAAAGTTATGCTGGGCATATTAAGACTATTTTTCTAGCAAAGCATATCATTTTTGCAAACGTGTACATATCCTGTTTCCTGAAAATAAGACCTCCTCAGATAATAAGCCCAATCGGGCTTTTGAGCACATGCACTAAAATAAGCCCTCCCCTAAAATATTTAAACACATGCGCAGCCAGCAACATGCTTCATGCACACACCCCCATGCACCTGCCACCCACACAGAGTGGCCTCACAGAGGCTGCTCCCGCAAACCCTAGCTACCGCACACCACAGAAAGAGTGGAAGGCCCAGCGATGCTAGGGCTGGCAAGAGTGTGCCAGAAACAGAGACAGAATTTCCAGCCCTCTCTGGATCAGCTATCCACGGGCAGCAGGCCAAGATTAAGGGGCCTCCTGCAGCTCAAAAATAATAACACCTCCCCGAAAATAAGGCCAAGCGCTTATTTCGGGGGTCAAAAGAAAATAAGACCTTGTCTTATTTTCTCGGAAACACGGTCTGTGAAACCAATTACAATCAGAAGAT